ATGAATGGAGGAACCGAGATACGCAGCCGAAGCGGCGTCAGCGTGCGTGTAAAGTTTGCTCACTGATGCAGGGCGCGAAGCCCCACACGACGGCGTACTACTGCTCCGAGTATGATGGTAATGCGCCTATCTACCTGTGTATGCGCCCGAGGCATGTGATTCGCGGAGTCTTGACAACCTGCTTTGACGTGTGGCACAAGGAATGGAGTGAAGGAAAGCTGCGACCTTCGAACCAAGAACGCCGCATCCGTATGCACCCAGCAACTCCAACGAAAGGTGGTGGATCACGCAAAAGACAGAGATGCTGCTGATTAAGTATCATGCATATGCAGGATACGAAAGGATGAATATGCATTTTATCATCAGTATTTGTGTTTTTGCGAGGTAATGGCTGCAGTGAAAATTGTCTTTCTATATCTCTTGCAGGTTGAGAATAAAGTGCAACCGTCGATTCATTTTGCTTACTATGCAGTCCGTGAGGCCAGAGCCGGAAGCCCATGCTCAGATTATATTATAGGCTTCATATCTGTATGAGCCATAAAAACTGAACTTTTGATTGCTCGCCACTTGGATGGGAAAACTTCAATATATGTACGCAATTGGACATTTTCTAAAAATCGACATTCAAATATCTCTAAAGTTGCAACCGTTTCTGCACCCGCCTATCGCTGTACTACCAGACGACCGGAAGTCAGCATCTATGTTACATGAATAATGCAGTTTAGAACCTAAACTTGCAGCCGTGTATGCACGTTAATATGCAGTTTGCACCGGTTATTACAACGTTCGGCTCGTCGACCATCTCTGTAACAAGTAAAAGTATACAAACACCAAGTCAAACTATCTTGCATATGCAATTTAAGGAAAGGAAAAATCAGCCGGTTTGAAGGGGTTAAACACGTATATCTAACGTTCCGCGATACAATGCTGGCACGACTCGACGTCGACTCTGACGATGCCTCGGCGGAACGACAAGCAGCAGAAGATTGGGTGACCAAGCCGGCTGGATCTGTTGGACGAGGTCGCAAGAGGTACGCCGAAGCCTCAAGTGACTGGCAGCATGATGACAAGAAGTTTTCTGTAGCTTCGGCTGCAGCGACCACGACTACTTCGAAAAAGAATACACGGTCACGCTGGGATTTCTGTAACGCCATTTGTATAACATGCAATGAGAAAGGTCATACTACAAACTATCACGATCGATTCGTTTCTCAACAGAAACGGTCGGGCATGACCAATCGCGGGGAAGCCTCTTCCGTGTTCGACAAGGATGCCGAGGAATGAAGCTGTGGGGAGTTGGCAGGCACCAAGACTAAAGCCTACGACCCGGGCATTTCTGCCGCGTCACCGATTATCGACTCGGGCGCTTATTATCCCACGACCGGTGATCGCAAATCATTGCTGACTGTCGTGCCTTGTGATGATCACTACGTGAGTATAACTTTCTTGAAAATTGACATCGTCGGCCTTGGCATCATCATTAAAAAACTATTTTTGACCTGGAACGCAGACAGGTCATTCGAGGAATGCACACCGCTGGATCAAAGAAGCTACCGATGTTCATGTGTGAGATAGGTGATTTGGGCAAGACGCACAGTCGCGCCACAATCGAGCGCAGCCAGCGTCCACAGATAAATAAAGACACTGTCTGCCACGCCGATCTTGTGGGGCCCTTCTAGCGCAGCATCCCCGGACACCCGTACTACACGGCGATAAGTGGGTGGGGTACACACATCTTTACTTCCTAAGAAACGCGAGGCTGTTAAAGTTTTCAGAGAATACCTGAATGTGATAAAAGCAATCGGGATGGTACGCAGCGCATTCGAGTTCTTCGAGCTGATAACGGTGATGAACTGATCAATGCAGAATTCGACGAGCTGAGTGCCGATGTGGGAATCGAGCGTCAGTATTTGGAGCCTGATGCACATTATCAAAACGGGGTCGCAGAGCGAACTAACTGGACGCTCGCTGATGCTGCTCGCTGCCTCCTGATCCAAGCTAAAGTGCACTGCAGATTGTGAGAGTACGCTGTACGTGCAGCTGCGTATTTGCGAAATCGAGTCCTGACAAAGAGTGACCCTACTGCTACTCCTTGTGACAAGTATTTTGGATCCCAACGAGATCTCACCGACTTGCATGCTTTTTGAGAAAATGTTGTCATTCTTCTAAAGCCAAATCTAAGATCTACGCGTTTAAAGTTCAAACCAAATGGAGGACGCGGTATTTTTGTTTGGACATGATCACGAGTCCAAATGCCACTATGTCTATATCCGTGAAGACGGAGCACAGGTTGTGCACAGCGGTAAAGTCACCTACAAAATGGAGCACTGACGCCGGGATTGCATGTCGACCTTATAGCCGTGCTGACTTCAGAGCCATCAATTCGCCAACACACGGTTTTTTCATCGAATACGCAGTCTGTAACAAGTCACGCTTAAGAAGACGACAAGTCTAGGAGCCGAATTATAGGAAGTACAGGCGATGCGGCAAGTAACCCGTGAAACAAATTTATCAAGCCGAAGGAGGTCCGAACGCATCGCAAATAGAATCGTCGGAGTCGCTATCCTCGGACTAAACGAAATAATCGAGGAGCCACTCACGATGGAGCAAGCGAGACGGCCACGGCATTGGTTAATCTGGAAACAAGCTATTATGGATGAGATCGAGGCACTCCGTGCAAATGGGACATTCACTATTGTGACTCCCCCAGCTGGCGCCGATGTTATCGGCTCCACTTTAAACTTTCGCCTGAAGCACCATGCAAACCTTTCGATCGAGAGACCAAAAGCCCGGGATTGCGCGCAAGACTGCGGTCAGATTTACTGAATCGATTATATTGACACGTATGCCCCAGTCGCCAAACTAGTTTCGATTCGATTTTTCTTGGCATAATGCAACCACAGAGGCCAACAAGTCTAGCAGGGGGATGAGTCAACTGCGAATGCCAAGGCGGAACATGATGAGATGGTCGATGCGAAACAGCCAGCAGAATTTGAGAAAGGAGAGCTTGGCTTAGTTTGGTTACTACGGAAAGCCTTGGACGGTTCGAATCAGGTTGGACGTGAATTGATCGATGAACTAGACGGCTTCCTGCGCGAACTCGAATTTGAGCCGATTATCACTGACCCGTGTGCTAACCAGCACCCTAAGAACAAGATGATGAAAACCCTCATTTACGTCGATGACATTCTCATTATAATTGAGGAAAGCGGCGAAATTGAGGAGATCGTGACGCAGCAACACGACAAGTACGATATCAAGGATTAAGACGAGCTATTCCGGTCTCTAGGCATGCACGTCAGGCGATTCATGGCATCAGGAAGAATATGGAGTGATCAAGCGCAGTATGCCGCAGAAATGTGTCATAATGTTGATATGGAAACGGGGCGACCAACTAAAACACCGATGGGCCAAGAAACAATCCTCTGCAAAGCCGTTCCAGACGATGAGCAATTTACATGCTATACCGACAGGCAGTCGGCGTGTTGCTCTATCTCAGTCGCATTACCCGACGCGGCATCTCGTACGCTGTCAATCAGGTTGCCGCACATGCCAGCAATTCCAGTGTTACTCACTGGGGTGCCGTAAATAAAATACTGCGCTACATTTCGACGTCTCGATCCACCGGTCTCCAATTTTATGTATACAACACTCAGATCCACTGCGACTGTAAACTGATGCTGACTGTGCCAACAACATCGAAAGAAGTAAGTCGATGTCTGGCACACTACTTCAAACGCACGGATGCACAGCTCACTGGAATGCAAACGGCAACGACGCTCAGCGACTTTCTCGACATTCGTTAAATACATTGCTGCTGATATGGGGGTAGAGGATTTGCACGACAGTACTTTTCATCTAGAATTTGACAAGAGTCAAACTGACGAAAGAGTCCAAGATGCTCGATAGCATGTCTACATTTGCCAGAATCAAGAACAAAAAGACTTCCAATACGCAGCAAAGGGTGGACTTAATTTCTCACTCCAGAAACGAAGCGGTTCGCGATGGCGAGGTGGAGTTCGCATACTGCCCCACTACCTAATAGCTCGCTGACGGCTTCACTAGAGCCCTGGGATCGACACGATTCAGGGAGCACTTCGCTGCTATGGGTCTCGTGCAATTTGCTCAAGATCACGAGTTACGGGGAGGTGTAGGTACCCTTAGCAAATATCCTGACATGACCTCGTGGTCAGCAGGAGTCTTGATTTAGGTACTTATATCACTTAGTTAAAGTTCGCACTAAGTTGAATGCAAAGCTTGTAGCGTCTAAACAAACTGAATCTCATACCTGGATTTACCTCAAAGCTACCAGAAGACATCTACAATTTGGAACACATTACGAAACGTTTAACGCATCCATTAATACATTTCTTTATTGCGTTGTCCGAGCACTGCCCCGGAAGCCTCAACACCGACGAGATCGTCGACTGGTGGGTAATACAGAAGTCTATCTCTGTAGTCCCCAAAGACTTCATGCGTTTGCATGTCCAACTGGAAGAGCTGAAAGTGTCTGACATTGGTGACGCTCGTCTCGTTCTGCACTGATCAGCCTTAAATAATTTTGGATTTTGCAGCTAAATTTATTGGAACACCCTTAAAGCCTGCGTTTATGCAGAATATATTTTTCAGCGATACTCTCATCAGGTACTGTACATTAAATGCAGGGGTCTGAAGCTGCGAATCATGGATTTCTGAAGGGATAACCCTCAGCTGACACAGTCCCTCAGTCGATTTTGTTTTTTTATTATATTGAAGCAAATGACCTCAACAATAGAGATGCAGCTGTGTAGATCCTAGGGGTCTGTTCGCTTCGTTGTTAGAGATGGAGATGACACAAGTTAAACTCGTCTCCATCTCCGGTTGCGTTCGCTATATATCCATCTCCAGCATGAGGTTTAGCCAATAAAGCGTCGCTATCTCAAGGAGCCAGCTCCTGATCAGGAAAGGGTAAAATCACCTTGCATTCCCTCCACACACCATTTTAATCGCAGGATAGCAGAAACCTCCCGTCGGAGCTCTCAGCAGAGAGCATTGACGATGCACTACCATTCATGTCCTTTACTCAGTTGTCGACCACGCTACATGTCACTCCTCTATCGATCGTCGCGCCACCGGCCGTCCTGACAAACACCCAACCAACCTCAGCGTCAGGTCTAAGGCCTTCTAACCGATCAGGTTCTAAGGCCAGTGTACACAACTCGTCACGTCGCAAAAACACGTGTCAAGAAACCTGTCGAGGCCTTAAGTCTGCCATTTTCTTGGACAGCGAAGGCATCAGAGACGGACATAAGGCTACAGTATGACGCGCTGAAAGACATGTTTGATGGATCCAATAATTCGAAGCAACTCAGTGCGGCTTGGGATTATCTTGTGATGAGCGACGTTTCTTTAGTGCAGCGTAGATTGTCATCGAACCAGCTCGAATAGGCTGCTGAGAGCAGCATGGGATCGAAGTCGAGAACGGATACAGTCAGAATCGGGGTTTTGGAATCGATAGGTCGGGGTTCATCGTCCTCAGCGAGAAGCGCAACCGACTGGCCAACAGCAGCGCAAACAGCTAGCATCACCTCCTCGAGCTCCTCCATTGAGTACATTTTAGTCTTTCATATAACGTCTCCGCCTCCACCTCAGGTGGAGACAGAAATGTGGTCCCATCTCTAGTTGTGACGTTGTAGAAAACTCATTTTAGCCAATAAGATTTCAGTTTTATCTTATGCGATCTGACCATCTCCACGTAGCGAACAGGCGATAAGAAAAAAAGCAAATTTAAGGGGAAACATTTATTTAAAAAAATATTTTTTTGCTTTTTCTAAGGCTGCACTTCTGTCGTTTGCATCATTTGGTTCATCCTGGTAGTGCTACGAATAGTAGTACGTACAGCCCTATAGATACTAGCTCGAGATTATGTGCGCACACCAGTTGTAGGTATCGATTCGATACAAACTTCAAATGAGAAGGTCTTATTTTCCTACTTATTTAAATAAACTTCACATTTCACCTCACTGTAATAGTTTGGCATGGGTATAAGCTGATAGAAACTTGTTGTCCGAAACAAAGTATAGCTCACTTTACTCCTCGACGTAAAAGCTAGGAGATGTTCTTTAAAAAAAAATTTTTTTTCAGTTTTTCTTACACGGTTAGGTGTTGTGCAAAAGTATCACCATTAATAGTAGACCTTAATAACTCTAAAGAGGTTTGTAAACAGCGCTGACGAGGCCGTTGAGGTGTGCGTCGATAGCACGTAGCACCGCCAGGCAGCGTGGCATCATTCGTCTACCTCTAGCCCTTGCTCGGTATAAGCTGCAGTGGTTTCAACGTCTTGCTGCTGCCACTTGACGCAGCATCGCAACGCTGAGGCTCCGCGGCATGGAGATTTCGAAGTTCTCCCTTATCCTGCGGTATTTTTTGCGAAGTGATAAGTCCGCTCGTATGTGTACCGGAACAGCCTATGCGGGCGTCACTAGTGGTGGTCTCGATTGGCCTAAGCAGCCCCGAGCAGAGCCGATATAATTTAATAAGTGGACCATAAGTAGACGAGCAGAAGTGTAGCCGTATCATGTAGATAGAGCGGAGATAGCCGCAGCAGCTCACTCACCGCCGCGGCGACGAAGTGTATTAATAGTGCCCTCGGGCGGCGGTCGCCGCGGCTGGTGATCTCGGTGATAGAATTATTATTTAATAGTGGCCGTGAGCTTTTGAAAGCAACTGTAGCAGGGTGATCTACGACAGGGATTTGATGAACCCGGACGCAGTCGGTCGAGGTGATCGACATGACGGCCGAGGATAGCGTTGAAAAACACAGGCGAGTTCGGTGATCTGTGAGTGTTGTAGATGCAGTGCGATGGTGGGAGCGAGCCAGCCGGCTGGCGCCACTGAGGACAGCAGGTAGTAGTTGAAGTTGAGTGACGTTCAAAGATCGCATGGAGGGCGGACATATGCAACAAGCGAGCGAGGCCAGAAGGCAAGGAGGCGAGATGACATCAGTAGGGAAGCAAACAGCCCTCTCAGTAGAAGTAGTTAGGCGACGGTGGTCTTCGTAGGGGGATACCGAGCGTGCGGCAGGCTGCTCGACCCTCAGCTGAGGTTGTTCCCGATTGGTGAGCAAGTAAGACAAATAAAGGAGAGTGCCGCTGAAGTACGGGTTCTTAAGGGCAAAGAAGGTGGGGCAGGGCAGTGCAATAAAGTCGAGGGCGGAAGGGCCAGTAGGGTGGCGAGGACCATGGAGAGAGATCATGGGGGTCGTAGCTGACCATCGAGGAGGCAGAGCTCAGTTATCGCTTGCCGTACGGAGCGCACGCCCAGTGCATGTTGTATGAAATACGGGTTCACTTTGCGAGACACAGCCCACAGACCCTTCCCGGGCGGGGGTGCCGGTCACCGATAATGTGTCCGCCTCGCTGTCCCTATCCGTTTGTTTGGCTGATCCAACGGCCAGTACCTATCTGGTAGACTCTCCGTACTGCCTCCGAGCACTATATGGGGGCTTCACGCCATCTAGGTATTGCACAATTCTATCTAAGGGTGTCAGCTGCCCTGGACGAGAAAGAAGATTAGTCCTCGAGTGGTACAAAACAATCTTTCCGGTGATAAAAATGATCACCTCGCTCAAATCGTATTACCTTCTTAAATCGACTAAAAAATATAGATGTCCTGGAGTTTAGTGTGGTAACGTATCTTATCGGCTTATGTTCGTAAGAACAGATACAGTGCGGGCGGTAATTATACTGCTATCCAGACGTTTCATAATTTGTGACCGATAATCTAGCTAAGCAAAACCTGTTTGGACCAATGGAAAGCTCCGCTCAAAGCAAAGCGACTGTTGGTCGATTCACTCGAATCTGATGTGAACTCGCTGCTTGATGAAGAAAAATGTCCACTTCAAGTTGAACAAGTACGGCGATAACTATACTGCCACTGCTCAAATGCGATCTCTCTAAGATACTGCGCTGTTGCAGCCTCTACCTAGTACTTTGGCTTCGCACCTTGGAGCTCTAAGACCGCCACGGACCTCGTTGGCATCGAGTTCAGCAACTTCTGCATGTACGTATTGGTAATTTCGGCCCAGCACCTCTTATAATTGCAAGCTCTTGATCGGGTTAAGGTCTGGAGACTTCGCTGACCACTCCATGACCTCCACATTTTCTTCTTCCAAGAAGTTTTTCGTGGCTCGAGATGAGTGGATAGAATCATTGTCTTGCTGGAAAATGAAGTCTCACCCGTTGATATTATCTATAAACGGCAGTAAATGCTCTGATAGGGTGAAGATATAATGCTCACTGCTTTGCGACCCCTCCAAAATCACTAGCTCGCTCTTCCCACCAGCACAGAAAACTTCCCACATCATAACACTTTCTCCTCCACTTTGGCGACGAGAGTAAATTTGCGTTTCGAGCCTCAAATCGTGCCAGTAGTACTGTAGCTCATCAGGCCCATCTAAATCAAATTTCTTCTCGTCGGAGAACACGACTTAAGACCATTTCACAGCGTCCCAGGTCACCTTGTCTCTCGTCCACTTAATGCGATTAGCCTTGAGTATCTTCGTGAGCACAGGGGAAGCCATACGCTTCTCGTTTCTAAACCCAGGGTGCTTTTGAAAAAGCTCTCGAATTCTACGAGCAATCAGGTCTAAGGTGCGCTCAGTTTGGTGCGCTCAGTTTGCCCTTCGAAGCCTCTCGGAGTAGCCGCCGCTCAGCAGTAGGCGGCAGGGATTTTGGTTCCCCTGGACGTTTGATGGTGCTATAAGTGTCTGGACTAGTGATGTACGCGCTCACAAGAGGCCTAGACCGACCTAATGTCTTTGCAATGGCTCGTTCGCTCAAACCGCGCTTGTGAAGTGCTGAAAGTTCGCATTTCTCCTTCTCTGTCAGCCGCACGTCTCTAGGCATGCAGTCAGCAGTCAATTCCGCATAATACCTAGTAAACAGAACATGAAAAGATACGTTAGAAGCACTCAAGCAGCATATTCTCATGCGAGCAAAACTAGGCAAGTAACCGGCTCAATACAGCAATGGCAGTGTACTTATTGCCGTCTAGATGATGGGACCCACCACGTATTTAGTTGTGTCTACAGCTGTAGAGTGTTGAATGGTGCCACCAATCGCTCTGTTTTGAGCGGAGCTTTCCATTGGTCTAAACAGGGCTTGCTTAGCTATTTGATTGGTTAAAATATGATGAAAAGTCTGATAACTACCGCCCGCACTGTCAGTATAATTCAACCACACTACCAGCCCAATTCTCTGATTGCAATAAAAACACATTCGACTGAGGTACTGTCAGCTTGGGGTTATTCCATCAAAATCCTAAATTCGCAGCTTCAGACCCCTGCAAATGGCAATCGAGCGATTGTAAAGTGCATCGCTGTTAAGCAACCTAGACTGTATTGACAATGACGTATGGATACAGGCAATTATCTGTGCCTATGGATACTGTAGGGTGCAACAGGAGCCAACAGATTATCAGACTTTGTCTACACATGTAAGAAGTTATTGATCCACGGGTCTTTCACTCCTTAACTCGACTTCGTGTAATAGGGTGGACTCGAAGAACTAGCCAATGTAGAATTAAGATCCACGGTACATGGGCATCATGACACGAACAATCTGGAGAGTGCCAGTGATTTAGAACAATCGAAACACAATCCCTTATCAGCAGTGATACTCGCATGTTGATTTCAAGTTGTTCATGTATTAACCCTTTCGCGGTGCGAGGGTGCATTTTTCGCCCTTTAACACCATTACCAAAACAAGGTGGAAAAAGGGCTTGGAAAAGGGCGAGTTTTACGCCCTTTTAGCTTTTCCTAACTCTGCCAACCGTGTTTTATAACTACCGATCGCAGCTGTGAATAGAAAGAGGTTGGGGGTAATTTTGGATCGTCTGGTCATCGCACAGTATTTTATTGCTCCAACGACCGTAATCGGCCCTTTCTACGCGGTCGTACCATGGATCTAGTGGTCAATCGCCTGACAGCCAGTCACCAGAACATACAAAAGGCAAGACGAATGCACCTATCCGACCTCCCATTTTTCTATAGTGTACTCAAGACTAATGCGCACTACCTTCACAGACACTGAAGATAAGCTGCTGGTGCAGATCGCCTTCCAATTCGAAAGGGAGGGCTTACGAATCACATGAGCCTACGTGGCCCGCCGAATGCAGACCAAGCGGCCGGCCCGTCAACTGCGGCTTCGGCTGGCTAGCCTCAAGCGGACCTACGGAAAGGCGATTAGTGGCTTTCCGCCATGTTTTCTCCGCGGCATGCCATCAAGGCGTCTTCTCGGGGCGCTGAGGTCACCACCACCACCACTCCTCATTTTGCAGCAAGTCGTAAAACCAGCATGCCGACCTTCTGCTACTCCGTCAAATTCTCTACTTCTCGGCGGCGATCGCCGCATGCCAGGTTTGTCTGTTTTGGGGATATTTGCATGCCTTTCGTGAGACTGATGACGATAAGTTGGTGGCGATACGCATGGGAGCGCCGCCGGAGGCAGTCAGGTGAAAGACGACGTGGATCAGGGAAACCAAGACTGCAGAGGTGAGGATACAGGACCCGCAGGCGGCTATATTGCGCGAGATTGCGGGGGATGCCGTCAACCACAGGTGACTCAGGCGAAAAGCGCTTCAGGTGAGTCTCGG